CCACGCGGTCGTTCTCGACCAGCCCAGCTGCAGAGGCGAGCCCGCTCAAGCCGCCCTCGGGTTCCCGGCCCCTCTTCGTCGTCCTCGCGCGCAGCACCATCTCTTGCGTGTCAGCGAGCTGCCGCATGCCCGTCGTGAGCTGGTCCCTCACGCCGAGGAGGACGGTGTTGTGCGGGTCGGCGGCAAGCATCTGGGGCCGCCGCGGGGTGCGTCAGGGGCTCGCCGCCGGGGCGTGGCGAGCCCGGGGCGGCGAGGAGTGCGAGGTGTGGGCCCCGCTGTGCGGCCTGCTGCGCCTGCTCGATCTGTTCGCGATGGTGCGCGCATGTCATCAGGGAGGACTCGAGCTCCGTGGCGGTGGAGTCGAGCTGCTCGGGCCGGTTGCGCTGCTGGCCGACTGCGGGTCCGCCTACGGCCGCGGCGCACGGGGTTCGAGGTTCCGACTGGCGAGGGCTGCCGCTGAGCGTGAATGCGCCTGCACCTCCGGTGGCAGCCGGCGGCGGCGCCCGAGGAGGCGGCGCGATCGGCGGCGCATCGCGCGGCGGCATCTGCACATCGAACACGTCGCGGCACGAGTCGCACTGCACGGACGTGATCTCCGCCTGCAGCGCGGCCTGCAGCGTCGCCCCGCAGCCAGGGCAAGCGAACACGAACGCCTCGGGCGCCTTCGTGCTGGGGTGGCTGGCGGGCTGCTTGCACGGGGCCTCAGTCGCCGCATTGGCGTCCACGGTGTTGGCGTCCATCGCACTCAGATGCGACCGGTCCGCCACCGCCGCCATCGCGAAGCGCGGGCTCTGTCTCAGGGGGGTGGTATGTCGTTGAGGGGAAGGTGGTATGGAGTCTCGTCGGCGAGGCCGGTGGTGAAATGAGGCGGAGGCGGACGTTTTGCTTTTTCCAATGGAAATCGACGAAGTTTGTAATCGGCGATCGAGTTTCTCGGGAAGAGTCCTACTTTTCTTGTTCGCCCTCAACGTGCGCCCCCCCCATGATAGACAGAACTTTAGAGTTTGACGCCTCGTTGTAGTATCGAGTTGACTGATGAGAGTGTGACAGAGCGGTGAGAGGGAGAGGGGGGGAGGGAGAAAGAGGGGAGGGACGAGGGAGGGAGGGAGGGAGCGAGCGAGCAATGAGAGAGTAGAGAGAGAGAGAGAGAGAGAGAGAGAGAGAGAGAGAGAGAGAGAGAGAGAGAGAGAGAGAGAGAGAGAGAGAGAGAGAGAGAGACAGAGAGAGAGAGAGAGAGAGAGAGAAAGAGAGAGAAAGAGAGAGAGGTTGGGGTGGGGGTCGCAAGACACACTCCCCGACGGCCCTTGGCCTGTACGAGGTTTTCCGGAAAACAAAAAGGAAAACAGAGGGTCCCCAGCACTTTGCGTTGCCGGAAATTTCCAGGGAAAACAGAGGGTGTTTGGTGCTCCATTCTGGAAACTCGCGAGTTTCCCTGAGTCTGAGAGCTGGTCTGGGGCAAAATCTGAGGCAAAATTGAGGAATCGACAAAATACCCAGGCGGTCGCAGGGTAATTTCCAGGTCTACACGGGTTCTCCGCAAAATTCCCGGCATTTTGACGATTTGGCCTAAAATTTGGCTGATTTTGGGGCCCAAACCAGCCTCACTCAGACTCGGCTCAGAGCCAAAAATTTGACGATTTCCACGGAGTTTTCTCGGGAAAATAGAGAGGAAAAGAGAGGGTGCTGTAGAGAAAAAAGGAAAGGAAAACAGACGGGGTGCGAGAGGAAAACCTCGTACAGCCTAAGACGGCCCGGGTGGCGGGTGGGACGGTGGGACACCGTTGCGGACCACAACAAAAGTACAAAACCTCTCTCTCTCGCCTCTCCGTTGCGCGTTGCCGTTGGCGTTGCGGCGTTGCGCGTTGGGAGAGAGAGAGAGAGAGAGAGAGAGAGATCTTCTCTCGCGTTGGTAGGGGAGTTGGGAGAGAGAGAGATTGTTGTTTGAGATTTTAGAAAACCAACAAGAAATCACGACTGTCACAGTGATTTGGGCTCGGCAGCTTGCCAGCTTGTCAGTCTTGTCAGTCTTCTTCTTGGAGTTGGTTGGGGGCCCCAGGGTGGCACAATACATAATACGTATAATACAATACGTATTAATACAACAATACAATACAATACGTATAATACACTACTCCCTTAATGTGGGTAAACGAAAGTACCGTATACGGTACTATCAGAGAAAAAGCCGAAAAAAGTCGCCGCGAGAGTCCGCACGGCAGCCTCTTCCTCTCGACCAGCCTCAACTTCCATACAGTCAACATTTTGTCGCTGCGTGCTCGTGGTGAGCTGTGGCGGCGGTCGAAGTTCGCCCAGATTCGGTGACGAGCGCCGGACGATAGTACCGCCTCTGTTCGCCCTGTGCATGTCAGGCCAGGCTGCAGCAGGGCACTACCATCGTGCTGCCCTGTTGCAGCCTGACTTTGCCCACTGTGCACAGTCGCCAAAGCACCACCACCGCCCGGCATCGTGTCACGG